ATCATCATCATTTTCATCGTCATTGCTATTATTATTATATTATCTACACACGTTGAATAAGAAATGCACTGTATATAGCCTACGTTATAATTGTTTATTATTAATATTCATTATTATTATTATTATTATTATTATTATTATTATTATTATTATCATCATTATCCTCACCGTCATCATAAAATATCAAATGAACACATTTATGTCATTTTTAGTGCTTACAAGAACAATAGAGTAAAGTGTAGTGAGCTGCCAAACTTGGATTTGCGCCTGTGGAAAGAAGCGCCATCAAACTAGCAGGGGTATCAAGAACATCAACATCACTGCATACAAGCAAGTGCATAAAAAAAGAAATCACAGATTTCCTGTCCAGGACAATACAATCGTAAAAGTTAATTAATTTGTCGCCATTTATATTTATATAGTAGGAATATTATTAATATTATTAGTTTAATAATCTTAATAAAGAAATTATAGTCATTGAAATACGAAGATTCATTGTTAACTTACCAATTATAATATTATTATTATTATTATTATTATTATTATTATTATTATTATTAAAGGTGTATTGTCCATTAAAATGACCAAAAAAATCATAATTTTGTTTATTTTTAAATTAACTTCCTCTTTTTGCAGTAACATACAAACTATTAACTTGGTCATAGAAATTATTTAATTTAAAAAATGTGTACCCTGATTTTTAAACTGGATAATTATAATAAAAATAATAAAACACATTCAGTGCCTAGAAGTGTTTCTATTATTTTTCGCTGTAAAATTATGGGTAAACATTTTTTGAATACACTAATTTCTATATTCAAGCTGATTTTCATGTTACTTTAAAACCGGCAAGTTAATTTCAAAAATGATTTTTACAATTGATTTGGTATTTTTCATGGAACAATAAGTACATCTTTAATATGTTATTCGTCTTATTCCTTTTAGTTGATGATACGAGGATAGTGATGATGATGATGACGATAATTATTTTATGATTGTGATGATAATGATACTAATAATGACGATTTTATCAACATAGGCCTACTAGGTATATATATTGACGATATTGACAATGAGTATAATGATGATGGTGATGATGGACGATGGTGATAATGACTATGATAATCGTAATTATTACTTTTAAGCGTTTTTTAAAACGCTTAAAAAGCATTCAATACAGTACGGTATTTTATCTTTTGAAAGAATAAAAATAGTTTTCAAGTAAACCGTTATAATTACGGCCAGTGCTAAAAAAATGGTTTGTGAAATTTATAATATACCGTTTGTTCTAAAACATTATTATACAAGTTATAACAATAATATTACAATGACAAATATGTACCGATACAGTACAAAATTACATACAAGCAATTTAATGATCTATGCGGAGAATAGAATTGGTATTACTGTACTGTATCTGTTAATTAGTGAAGATTTTTTTTTCCATTGCAATCAATTGGAATATAATACCCTGCTGAAATATACAAAGTAAGCAATCTAAATATTGAATTTATCCCCAACAAAGACTATATACAGTATATTTTTAAAAGTAGGCGGTCATCCATATTGACATTCTATGCTAATTAGCGCAAATATCTGAAGAACGTACTTCGTCAGTGGGCGACATCACCGCTCGGGTGCACCATACGGAGCCAATGTTTTCCTTGAGTACCGGGGAGACAAAATATAAAAGAGAGGTGTTATTTCAGAAAGTAGACAGTCCGCGTTTCAGCCTGTTAAGAAGCAAATAGTAGTCGCTCCGTTTCATCAATTCACTTTCTATGCCTGGTTATAAAATGCGACGCCTGTTTATGTATTGTGTTTTCTACAGGTGAGTTTAGTTGTTGTTCTCTGTATAGTACAGTAAGGCCTAGCAGGTTTATTTTAAAGCCTAAACATGGAATTGTTTGACTTCTGAATACGCAAATAATTTGGGTCTAGTAAGATAACCAAGAGGTAATGAATGGATTCCATTCAGAAAACATGTATTTACAGTAGAATCGTTTGAAGGATTAATGGCTTATTATTTAGAAACATTTGCCCAAAAACGCTTTTGTCTAATTTCGATCTGTTTAGGCCAACCTTTGGTTTTATTTATGTCCTACCCATTTTCTTGCAATGCATAGGCCAATCTTTGTGATCATAAAACATCTAAGATGTTGAGCTACTTTGATAGTTTAAATTACTCCTTCTTAGTTCGACGTCCTGTTACACACGCAGAAGTAGGATTTTTATATCATTTGCGAATTGATTATAAAATAAAGCATGCAGTGATTCCATGGATAGGAAAAGACTTTGGATATGTTACAGGGGGTCCGCGAATACAAAAAGGTTGGGAACCACTGTATTAAATAATAAACGCTCTGGTCCGACCGAAATGTGCTTAACGTAACAAAACAGACAAGGGAAATCAATCAGAGATTTTTTGGTCATTCTCTTAGTGTCATATTTTTGGGGATGACAGTAAATGGAGAGGAGGAAGCAGTTGAAGATGAAAAATGGACTAAGTTAAAGAGAGCTTTGGTTGAGGAAACAGAGGATGCTTTGGCGAATTCCCATTCATGGCTTTACTCTGGAGGTAAGAATTAAGTTGGATTGGATTGAATTTATTCTATGTGAACACCAAAAATAATGCTACTATGTTTTATATTATATGTGAATATTGTTAAATGTAGCTGCGTCGACACTAATTTATGAACCGTTGATTATCATAAAATATAAACCATGGTTCACCAATAAATTTGACATGACATAGTTTGGAACAAATTACGAAGAAATGCGATTCAAGTATTCCAAACTTTATTTGGTCATTATCAGAGATTGTATTCCCTCTTATGTAAATATGAAGTATCATTAACAATTGCCGTCATGTTAAGCCGAGTACTCGGCGTTTACGACCGTCGACCGACGAATCCAACTCTACTATCTGTGGGTGTTACACGACACGACGCCTTCTATTTATTCAGTGGCAGTGGGAACCGCCGATCATCATTAAAAACGTCGTGACGTTGCGTTCTCCATAAAATCGCGTCGGCCGACGACGCGACGATCGGGCGCTGTGTGTACCCAGATTTATACCTACAAGTATTACGTCGTTTATGTACATTTATTCATTTATAATTTATCAAGTAACATAGAGATCAAATATATTTCATTTCACTGATTTTTTTCAATCTTGTATTTTACCGGTGCCGAACGCAACATAGGCCCACGTGCAATAAGAATTGCTTTGTGTATCCGTGTATTGACGAGTAAAACAGTCGTTCGAATGTTCAATCGATGTACATACATTCATGATATCATTTATGCAATGATTTATATTATATGTTAACATCTGTATCTGTTTCAGATGAGCGGTCTCACAAGAGAACCGAACGCTCGCCGCAGTCACTGAAGCAGTTATTTAGCCACACTTCATCTGGTGGAGCTGGTGCTCTAGCAAAGATAGCTAAATTAACAGAGAAACATGCAGAAATCGCTAGAAGGTAAAAACAGTATTTATAAAAAATCTACACATTCAAATACACATAATGTTGGTTTTTTATATACCTTGACTTACCAAGAATAAAATGTATAAGATGGCTATTAGTTTGAATATGCATGTTTATTGTGTTTATTGCATCGACAAAATGGCACAAAATCGTTTTTGCTTTGAAGAATACTTGTGTAATCTTAAATGGCTAGGCCTACTTGTATGGATAAAGCCTGGTCTCCATACAATTGCTACAGTTTTTTCAGTGCAATCGTTGCACTGCGTAGCAGTCCCCGACGTAATCGGGAAGGCTCCCAGATTCGACCGACCAATCAGCATCACCGAAAGCTGTCGGCGATAGCGTGTAATGATAGTTTAGAAACCAAGCTTAACACAATACAGCATGGGAAATCGTGCTTGGAATGTAAAAAATTGTTCCAAGCCGATTGTCTTTGTAAATCAAGCATTGTATTGTACAGTAATACCGTAAAACCTCGAATGGAAACCCTGGGCTGCTTCTGCTTCTAAATTTTTTTTTTTTTTTTTTTTTTTTTTTTTTTTTTTT